TATACTGGAGGGAGAAAAAAAAAATCTTGCTAATTGCACGGGTGTTTTGAACTGATAAATGTTGAGCAATTCGTGTTTTCTTGGGAGTTTGGTGGAGGAGAGCGGCGGTGTGGTGTGCGAGGGGTTAGGAGCGGGGCTGGTTGGGATGCTCCCCCTCGGGGGATGCTCCGGAGCAGTAGCAGAGGATCGGGCCCCGGACATAGCCAACGCTTCTTCCATCCAGGCAAATCTTGGTGTCGTTGTAGGAGCCCTGCGAGTCCCTTTGCTTTACGTGCTTAGTGAAGCAACTGCTTGTGTGTCAGAATATTCAGGCTCTTGCAGAAGTAAATCCCTGGCGAGAGGAAAGGCAGATTCTCGTCGGTGCTTGTCTTGGGGGAAGAAATTTCCTGCGTGATGTAGCTCCGTTGTCTTCAGGGGCTGTTCCCCTCCCGGTTAATGTCGCGTTGGTGCGAGTGGGTGCTGCTGGTGGCTGACCCCGCGGGCAGGGTGGGAGGAAGGACGGGCTCACGTTTCGAAGGACACGATGCGAAAACTGTCTTTCCTTCTGCGGATGCCGACCCCGGCAGAGCTGCCAGTATCGTCGCGGGTGATTATAACAGCAATAAGTTGTTTGCTTTGTGCGTGCGGCCGTGCTCTGCTCACGGGCGGCTGCTTCGCTCTTCCTGTGCAGACTGTTAGTTTTCAACAGGGGAAGAGGAAACCCCAAAAATATTTTAGGAAAGTTTAATCTTAGAGCTTGGCCGGTGGGCAGGATGTTTCGGAGAATCATGTTCCCTGCCGGTCCAAGTCCAGCCCTGTGGCCCTCAGAAGGCTTTGCTGGGCGGTATTAACTCCTGTCTCGTCATTTTGGCCAGTTGAGGACTTGCTGCTAGGCTCTGGGAGCCAGAGGGGGCCGGGACCTGGCCCTGGGTTTTGGCTTTTGCGCTGGGTGGATCTGGCTGCCCCCCCGTACCTGGGCAGTGGCAGAGCCGGGGTGTGAGCCCAAGCTCAGGCCTACAGCTGCTGAGGCCTCTGTCAAACATTTAAAATCTGTTCCCTGGCGTTCCACTCCCTCTTCTCCTTGGTGGTTTTTATTCCTAGAGGTGCTGGCGTGCCAGCGGGGGCCCTGCCTGCCGCCTGCCTGCCCGCTGCTGCTTATCTCGGGGTCTGGCTCCTGGGTGGCTGCGTCCTTTCCGGAGTCACGGGGGCTCTCCCCTCTCTGGCGGTACCAGCATCGGCCCGATGAGCCCTTCTGAAGTCAAGAACCTGTTTTTCAGGCTGATGTCATCAGGAAGAAATGGGGGAGGAGGAAGGCAGGAAGGCAGCGCTGCTTCCGAAGGAGAGCCACTGCCGAGCCGCTGCTGGCAGCCCCGGCTTCCACCAACACCCGCTATTATTCCTTGTTACCGGCCCGGCGACCGTGCCCGGGGCTGCCGGCACGCGTGGGAGAGGTCCTGCTCTGCCCGGCCTCGTGTCCGCGGGGCGAGAGGCGGGAGGGACGCGCCTGTGCGTGGGGTGCGCG